GAATGAGTTATTAACTTTTTGCAGTCTAGTGACAGGCACCATTAATTTATTTTTATTTCTTGTATTAAAATTGTGTACATCACTTTTTATAGAAAACAAACTAATATTTTTACGAACGTACATTAAGTTCTCGTATATGTATTGAGAAGCAACAGTCATAATGTCTATTTCCTTAAATTTCTCCCTTAAAGAGTCCCTAATCCTAAGATTATAAATTGATCGAATTGCTCTTTTCTGAAGCACAAAAATTGTTTGTATGTCAGCAGCATTTCCCCACAATAGGATACCGTACGACATAACACTATGATGAAATGATGATATGATATGAATGTAACTGAAGTATACTAATCTGGCAGTATCTATGTCAGTTAACCTACGTATCTTCATTACGGCATATGCTGCAGAGCTAAGTCTACTCGACAATCTATCAATATGTGGGCCCCACTGTAGTTTAGAATCTAACGTTATTCCCAAAAATACTGTGGTATCCACAAGGCCCAAGTTCTTATCTTTTATATTAACATTTATATCTACTTTTTTAACATTAGGTAGTAAAAATTTTAAGCATTTTGTTTTTCCTTCATTAAGGAGAAGATTATTTACATTAAACCAATGTACTACTTTAGCGATAGAAATGTTCACATCGTCATTTAGAGGTAACCCTCTTTTAATTTTAAACAAGAGTAAAGTGTCATCCGCAAACAAAACTATTCGTGATCATCCCTTACGAAATAAGGCAAGTCATTTATGTAAATCAAAAACAAGAAAGGACCAAGTATTGAGCCCTGCAGAACGCCCATCTTAATTTTCGATCCAGGGGATCTTTTGCCATTGATATCAACCCTCTGTACTCTGTCAGTCAAGTATGAGACAATAAAATCCAATGAGTTATCTCTAAATCCATAAAAATGCAGTTTCCTAATCAATGTTTCATGAAAAACACAATCAAATGCCTTAGATAGGTCACAGAAAACACCTAACGCATCATGTGAATCCTCTCAGGCATTAAAAATTTCTTGTAATACTCGACACCGGCTTCGGTTGTCGAGCGACCCCTTGTAAAACCGAATTGTTGTCGATTCATAAGCTTATTCTTGTAAAAGTACGTTTGTATTTGATCCAGCATGATTTTTTCAAAAATCTTACTAAACGTAGGTAGCACGGTCTAAAGTAAGTAGGGTCAGATGTGCTACCCGATTTATGTAAAGGAATAATTTTACTATATTTCATGAGCTCAGGAAAAATACCACAATCAGTACATTCATTAAATATATAAGCTAAGATTGGAGCTATTGTCTCAATTACCGATTTAGAAACTTCAATGGAATTACCCCATAAATCAGCAGTTTTCGTTTTCTTTAGCTGATTAAAAGATTTTATTATATCTTTAAAATCAATGTGTTGAAACTTAAATTGGCTGTTAGAATTATTTAAACTTGCCTTTAAAATAGATTCAGCAACAGTGGAAGAGGAATTCAAAGATTGTATAATTAAGACTGGAATTTCAGTAAATAAATTTTCAAATACTGTAGCAACTTCAAGATCTGATGTTACTTTTTTATTATCAATGTTTAAATTAAAATTTATATTCCGGGATTTTTCTCTTCCAGTTTCACTATTTATGATATTCCACGTCATTTTAACTTTGTCTTTACTATTTTCAATTTTTGCATTTAAATAATTACATTTGGCTAAACGACACACTTTTTTAAATAATTTAGAGTAATTTCGTACATATTCTTTGAAGTCCTCACTTGTGTTATAATTACGTTCATCATATAGTTCATAGAGCCTTTTTCTGCTTTTATAGATTCCTGGTGTAGCCCACACACTAAAAGTTATAGGATTACTAATACTTATTTTTTTTGGGACAAAAATCATATTGAATTCTGTACAATAAACATCAAAGAAATCTTTGTACAAATCATTGGGATTACTATTATGTTTCAAATGATACAATTTACTATCTAATTGATTTTTAAAACGTTCCAAGCGACTCATACTTTTTAACACAACTGTAATGTCTCTCCTAGCCACAAACGTACATTCATGCGGAAAGCTAACTAGTTGTCCAAAATGATCTGACGGTAGTTGTTTAATTATCTGTTTTGAAAGTGGTACCAGATCTGTAAAAATGTTGTCAATACATGTGGATGAAGTAGCAGTTACTCTAGTAGGCTCCTTAAACATGTGCGCAAGATTATAGGACATAAATAGATTTACAAGAATTGGAGTTTCCTAATAAATCAACGTTAAAATCACCCCCAATCACTAATCGTTTGCCTTTGCTATATACCTTTTTTAATGCTTCATCCATAACAGTTTCAAAAAGATCATAATGAGAAACTAAACTTGAAGGAGGTCTATATACGCTCAGTACAATCAGCTGGTCCAGGTCTATACAGGCAATCTCTATTATTTCCTCAACCGATAGGCTCACTATATCTCTACGTTCTTTAAATTTTAACTTTTTATTTAATAAAATTAGTGCGCCACCACGCATTGCGTTTTTCCTAATGAACGCGCTACCAACCAGGTGATTATTGAAGTTAAAAATGCAATTATAACATGTTAACCAATGTTCCGTAATACAGAAAATATCAATATTGTTACAGTTCATGAATAATTCTACTTCTAACTCTTTACTCAACATTCCTTGAACATTTTGGTGCACTAGGTTGATGACTGATAAACTCCTGGTTCCATTATTACTTTGACTATTCAATAGCAAGCAAGAGGAATCCTCTGTTGTCTTAGTATCTAATTTAAAGACGAATTTGTCGCAATGTCAGTAGGATTATTACTGACAGTCATGTCAATAGAAGAGTGCTCAATAGGAGCACTCTGGTTAGCCAAATTTTTGGCTGTTATAGAAAAAAAATATGATAGCGAAATAGCTATTTGTCTCTTATAATAATTGGAAAGATAATATTTATCTTTAGTTAAATAAAATTTTCTAACATATTTGTTAGTGTCAATGACATGAAACTTTGCAGTATTGCATATAGTGTGCAATGTCATATTCAATTTATATCGCAAATTATTTTCTTCATTGGACAAATTATTGCAATACGGCAACGTAAAAATCACGACTTTCCCAACGCTTAATGAATTTAATTCGTTTATATATTTCAATAATTTATGTTTGTTCAAAGTACCTCTATTGCCAATAAAAAACAATAAAGTGGTATTTTCGCTGTAGTTTTGTTTAATTTCTTTTTCCAAAATATCACTAAAAGAGGAATTAGGCATACAGAAGTTTAATGTTGAATGGCCCTTATCGAATAGCAGACGGCCCATGTTTCTGCCAATTTCATCACTGAACATTAAAATATTATTTTTATAATTTTGTGAATTTATTCTGTGACGTTGGGAAAATTGTGATGGAGAGCAGTCATCAGTAACAGATGATTGAACAGGTACCTGAGTAAACAGTTGTGACTGGTGGTGGTGTGTAACTGTATTTATAAATTGTTTCTGAATATTATTATTGTTATCGTTACTAAAGCTGTTATTTGTTTTGTTAATTAATTGTTTATTATTTAACAATGAATGGTAACGGTCAGCATTGTAATTGCATAGGTTAACCAACTCTGTGGCAGACCTAATATGCTCATCAATCTGAGATTGTGCACCTAAATATTTATTTTGTATTAATTCTATTGATTCATGTATTTTTTTTTTATTTCAAATTGAAATTTTTTTGTATCCCGGTCATACATCTGCCGACTTTCACATAATTTATCGCTATATATTTCCAAAGAATCCATTAGACTACTGCGTTGTTACCATGTGAGGTGACAAGGGAAGGATTAGTGGTGAGGATTAAATCAAGCCACGAGTCGTCACCAGAAATGTTTTGGTGAGTTGGTTGGAGGGGTAGTACATGAAGACTTGCAGACTTAACGATAGATAGGAGTTTGCGGGATCGTGAAGATTCGGAAATTAGGAGATTGGTATTGTAATCGCCCATGATGACAAGGTTTTTTGAGCACACTCAAATCCAGATCCCAAAGACTCTAAAAAAAGACTCTAAAATCGCTTCGAATTAGGTGAAATAATCGACAGAGGGGAGACAATAAACAACACCAATAGGAGAGCGAGTAAGAAGAAGAAAGAAGATATGGTTTTAACCATGATTCGGAAATTAGGACAGCGTGTATATTATGCCCAGAGAACACATCCATCAATTCGTTATAGTGACTTGGCACACTCTGGGCATTTATGTGACATAAGTTCAATAGACCCGGAGAATCATCAAAAGTTCGACTCAGAAAATCACCAAGAGTGTCAGTTGCAGAGCAGAAACTTTCATTATTGGATGAATTTGCAGATTCATCATCTGCAGAAAAATATTCGCTGTCGTCAAGTACCATAAATATATAATAAATAAAATTGATAAAATAAAATATTATATAAATATGTAATAATAATATTTAAATAAAAATGAATGTGCAGAAGCGCCGATGTCTACATACCACCCGCCAGCTTACATTGATTAATACACATATAAAAATATAAAGTTAAAACATCATATCAATACAATAAAAAAATACCTAACTTAACCATTAGTTTCAACAAATTACAAAATGTACAGTTTATACTATCAAAAAAGACTATTAATTATGGATAAAAAAATCCGAAAGGTAAAAAAAAGTTATTGGTTTTTTGATGGCAGTATGGCTAAGTTCCTTCGCCTGTCTTAATCTACGATACATACTGTTGTTGACGTTGTCAACACGATAATATTTAATTTAGTGAAGCTTACAGCAAATAGGCCATGAATTAAAATAAGAAGAAGAAGTGAAGCTTGTGTAAGAAAAAAGCCGTAATAAATATTTCTACGAACAATACTGCAAACAATTGTTTAGACTTAAGTCCAGTGACACGGACATCATATTTAAAACTAATGATTATTACCTTAAGTGTAACAAATGGTAGTACAAGTTACAAGATTTCATGTTATAGTAGATTTAAGGTAGAACACAAGACAGATTGCATCATTTGTTCTTGTATTTTGCAGTTCCTGAGCCTTCACCAGCCGGCGTTGACCTCCTTGGATATATATCAACCAGACAGTCAAGATCTTCTTTTCCGACCATTCTGTGACGCTTACCATCAGACGTTTTTATTTGTATTACGCCTTCCTGAGTCCAGCAGCAGCGCACGCCAAAATATAACCGAGCTTTGTTGAAGATAATTTGCCTCGGTTTAGTAAGAAATTCTTTCACAGAAATACTTGTGCCCTTCAACAACGTTTTGGCTCTCCAGACTGCAGTCCTGAGTTCATAACGCTCAAACTTCACCAAGACAGGCCGATGCTTGTTATGTTCATTTCCATTGGTTGCTCCAAGTTTATGACACAATGTCAAGGTGGATTTATTAACATCTTTGAGGCCCATCTTAGATTTGAGGATGTCACATATTACCGCTCCACAATCTTCAGTGCCTGACTCTGACACACCCATAAAAATGAGATTCTTGTGTCGATGCCTGGTTTCAATTGCATCTTTTTTGAAGGAGCATTCGGTGATTTGTTTACGTAGCAGACCCAACAACCGAACATAAGCTCTCTGAAGGTCCGGAATTCTTCAGCTACCTTTGTCACTATTACCTTGCTGGGCCCCGCACTTTGAATTTGAACTTCTAGGTACTTCATCTTCTTCATAAAACAATCCTCCAAGCTCTTTTATGCCGTGATAATGTCAAACAATTGCGACATAGTGACGGTATTTTACAGTGAAGTAGGCTGTAGTGATGGAAATGTGATTGATGTGCTGGCAGGTGGTGTTAAATGTAAGGATTTATTACATTCAAGATGCTACAAAAGTAGTGCTGATTTTCTACCCTAGCATCTAATTCAACTAAAAATTGAGATGGTAAAATATCTGAGATTGATTAAATTAAATTTTAATACTGAGTAACACTTCTTTACTTTTTCACACCTACAGCCGAAAAAAAAAGGACGAAGACGTTTCTTGTTTTATACTTTTTAGAGCGTGATTTAGCTGTACTTGGGTTTTATCTTTTTTTATTTAAATTTTTCATTTGATATCCTAACTAAGAGGCTTCTAATGACAACTCATTTGTGCAGTTACGATGAGTAGTTTTGAAGTTATAAGGGAACAAATGAATGAAGAGATTAAAAAAAAATGCAATTGTAAACAGACGTGTTTTTTTTTGCTAGGCAAAGAATATTATAATTTAATTAGTTCTCAACTATTGTAACAAGTTTGAAATTCTTCGATAATATAAATCAAAGTGTTTTTTATGTAACCAATGCACTAGGACTACATTATCATTACATTTTATACCAAAATAATGATATGAAATATCTATTTCACTGTGTGGCGATAGCAATTTGTTTTCATTTATACCACTACACAAATCGGCATTGAGTAAGAATTACCACAGATCTTTGATTTAACAGAAGTGTCATAATGTTCCAATCACCGTCATTGCAAACTAAGTTTGGTTCTGATCCAAACCTAAGTGAATCACAGACCTCTCTGAGAAAGCCCAAGCATGATGATGTCTTTTTTGAACTATTCAATCAATTTACGGCAGATATAAAATAAAAAAAATATAAAAATGTTCTTTATTAACATTATTTCCATCATTTACAACCTTGAAATTATCCCAGTAAGTAATATAAAATACTTGTATTGGGACCATTTCGCTCCAGCTTTGTAGCAAGTACATATTTTAATGTTAACAAGAACCAAAATAAAATGAATGAATGAGTTCGTGGGTGAGGTATTGTGTTGTGAATGTGTGTATTGTGTGTGTGAGTGTGTATGTGTTGTGCCTGTGGGTGTGTGTTGTTATCTACATATATATTATATATTTGTATTTGTATGTATATGTATATGTATGTTATATGTATTATGTTTATTATATTCGCAGCCAAGCGGCACAATTAGCAACCCAGTCAGCCGGCCGACCACGCCACTCGACTGCGACATACACATACACATAGTACTTATTTAGTTAATTCTTTTCAATATGTCCTCAGTTTCCTCATATGTAAGAGTTTTTAAAAATTCTATTAATATATCTTTACATTCATACAACTGTTTATCATATATATTTAGTTTCCTATTTAATTTATTATATAAATAAGCTGATTGACTGTTATATTGACGTTCTGCGAAGGCTGTATGACTCCTAAATGATTTGACCACAACATTACTACGACGCCTATTAAGTTTTTTTGGATCAAAATCTAAAGTTGTGTGTACTTTCAAAATAATCTTTAAAATATACAATTTTCTAATCGTAAGTAAATTACAGTCGCTATAAAGTCTTTCTGTTGCGTATTTATTTTGTTTGGAGTGCATCATTTTAATAAGTAATCTTTGAGACCTTTCAAGTACTAGTAATTTCATTTTAGTAGCTCCTCCCCAGACCGGAATACAATAGGTTATAATCGATAGAACAAGTGCTATGTAAACCTTATTTAAAAGACTTTTTGTCATTATATTTCGAAGTGTTCTAAAAATCCACATCAATTTTCTGATTCTACAAATAATCATTTCAATATGGCTGTGCCATGATAGTCTATAATCCACAATTACTCCAAGATATTTGGTAGAAACCACTTTATCAATGATAGGACAATCACAGTTCTGGTTCTGTGCATTACCGCAACGATGTATCTTTATTTGAAAATCAGTGGTAGGCTGGGTTCTTTGACTAGGAGTAAAACAAATATATTTAGTCTTGGATGCATTAAGAGTAAGTAGACTTGACTTTAACCAATCAGCTATAACAGCCAAGCCTATACCAGCTGCAGTCTGCACTTCATCCCAACTTTTCTCAGAAAAAACGACCGCTGTGTCATCTGCATAAGAAAATATCCGACTATTGCAATTCTGTAATGTACATAGATCGTTAATATATATAAGAAAGAGCGTAGGGCCGAGTACACTACCTTGCGGGACTCCATAATTAATATTTCCCTCGTCGCTACAATAATCACCGATTTTAACCATTTGTGTCCTCTCACTAAGATAACTTTCGAAGAGAGATAAGCGCTTTTATGCCTCTAATACCAATAGTTTCAAGTCTATCTAATAGAAAAGGGATAGAAACGCTGTCGAATGCTTTTTTAAGATCTATAAAGACGGTAAGGCACTTATATCCGTTATCAACTTTTTCAGTAATTAATTTAGTTAAATCTAAAACAGCGTCCTGAGTGGAAAGTCCTTTTCTAAAACCATATTGGGAGTTAGAAATAATGTTGTAAGTAGTTAAATATTTAACAAGTCTTTTGTTTAATAACTTCTCTAGTATTTTAGAGAAGCAGGGAAGTACAGATATAGGTCTATAATTATTTACATCATTTACATCTCCACCCTTATGAACCGGTGTAACAATAGAGCGTTTAAAAACCACAGGAAATTTTCCCATTTCAAAACACAAATTAGCCAATCGACTCATAAGAGGAACAAGAAAATCTCTAGCTTGCTTAACAAATTTCGTAGGAATGTAATCCCAACCAGGAGAACTACTAGAATCAAGATTCATAAGAATCCCATTTACTTCTTCAGGATCTGTTTCCATCAGAACGAATGAAGATGTTTGTATGGTAGAATTCACTTTATTCAATTGTATACCAAAGTTAGAAATAATATCTTCAGCTAAAGTACTTCCAATACTAATAAAAAATTGATTTACACAGTTTATCGAATCTATGGGGTTTGGTAACATATTTAAGAGTTTAGAGTTTGAACTCTTTGGAGCCCTGAATTGACTTACTTCATTTATTGTTGACCACAGCTCTTTGTTGTTTTTTGTTGAGTCCTCAATTCTTTTCTTATTATATTGTGTTTTAAGTTTTCTCAACAAATTTACACAATAGTTACGAAAGCGTTTATATGTAATTTGTAAAATTTTATTTTCTGGTTCTTGTCTTAGTTTATACTGCATGTTATTTCTCAGCCTAATACAGCGTAGGACACCGCTAGTCACCCACGGTTTTAAAATTCGTTTGCCTGATGAAACTGTCCTTATTTTAGTATTTGTAACGAAAGCCTTTTTTATCATGTTTACAAGTTTATTTGCCAATATATTTGGATCATTACATGTATTAAAATAGGAAATATCATTGCTGATAAGGGCAGCGTATACATTATTATAATTGACATAATTTCTAGTATTTGATTTGGAAGCTATTTCATTTGTTAAATTTGACACATTTAGAGTCACCATGAAGTGATCTGTTATTGTACTGTCAAGAACTACAACAGTTGCAGAGTTTTAGTTTTTTCTAGTTTTAGGAGAACATGATCAAGGCAACTGTTTCCCCTAGTTGGCAGGTAATGACCAGGGAGCAGACCATGTGAAGCCAAAACCTCCAAGTATTTTAATCTGTTATTCCGTTCATTTGATCTTTCTACTGAATTTATTATTAGGTTAATATTTATATCACCCATGATAAAAATATTTTTGTTAGAAGATAGCAACTCGAGATGATTATTTAGTGACTCGATAAATCTTTCTGCATTTAAGTTTGAAGGAGACCGATAAATACCTATTACTACAAAACTGTCTGTGGTTATTTGTAGTCCAGATGCATGTGTTAAATTAATTTCTGTCACCTGAACCTGCAGGGACCGATTAACATAGATGGCCACTCCGTCATTTTGATTTATTTGGTTTAAAGTGCAGAATGCATAATAGTTTTCCAATGCAGGTAACGGTTTATTGAAATCAAGGTCTACACTCTGTCAGAATGATCATATTTGGCTCAACCGGTATTTGCGATAGATTTATTTTAAAGTCATCGAAATTGGCATAAATACTTCTAATATTCTGAGTAATAACAGTGAAACTATGTTTTTGTATGTTTATATGCTTATAACAATCATCAATTCTACAAAATAAAGATGTTGCAATTACTGCATCGTCTAGTTCCTGCAAAGGCCTTAAGATTCACATCCATAATTATTATGAGTTAAGAGAAGACAATAACAGTAGCAATTATTTTCTATTGATTTGTTCCAGAAAGAGTTTTTAAATATGTGTAAGTAGATAAAACTATGGAGGTCTAATGTTGTCATAAATATATTATTACAGATATATATTTTCATTAATATAATATATATCCATCCATATCCATATATATTTTTCCAGTTGTAATAGCAATAATATTCTATTTCTTTGTTCCAAAAAGTACCATAGAGGTTTATCATTTTCCTAAAATTATTTTTATACATATGTATTTTCATAATTATTAGTAGATTTATGTGTCTATTCCTGTAATGTGTCTGATGTGTGTATGATGTCTGACAAAGTGATCTGTTATACATTTTAATTTGTTTAAGATATATAGTAACAGCATTTTCATCAAAAAAACACTCATTCTTAACAAAAACATACAAATACAAAGATCCATTTATGTTTCTTATCTTCATAAATGTTTGTAAATAAGTTATATAATACAAGATAACACTAAATATATATA